TAGATAGATAGATAGATAGATAGATAGATAGATAGATAGATAGATAGATAGATAGATAGATAGATAGATAGATAGATAGATAGATGCAAAAGTAATCAAATCAAGCATGTGTGTCTACATTTGCAATGCATGTCTTAAGCGCCATCTGAACCAAAGACCATATCAGATTCTCCTTACCTTGGCCCAGAGAACAATCTGACTCTCTTTGCAAACATATCAGTCCTGATCCCAAGGTGGAATGCTTGAGTAGCACAGAATCCTGTTTGCTTTCAGTCCAGTTAGAAGTTTCCACAAACAGTGATGATTTTTGGGAGCCATTACTGCTGTTGACTCTCTGCAGTTTATAAAGCCAAAGTCAGCACAGCTGTCTACCAGCAAATTATAAAGCACCACATGTTTCTCTCCTAAATGTCCTTGAGATACTGATATCATTTTCTAACAGGACTTGGCACATTTCCACACTGCAAAAAGATTCAATAACTGTCTGCAGTAAGTGATTATGGCAAGAGGTCATAAAGATGAGAGACCAGAGCTAACAATGAGGTCAAACTAAAGAAGACTCACAAGTTGATTCCTGGCCATAGGATCTGTAGCACAGAGTCTTCATCCTCCTCACTCTCTGCCTGTTTTTTTCTTGAGTTGTTTTAATGTTTGCTTGTTTGTTGCTTTTATAGATGTCTGCATTATCATGCAATATGCAATGAAAATGTATATTATTTCTTAAATACAGTACATGAGTTTAATATGCAATGAAAATGTATATTATTTGTTAAATACAATATCTGAATTTAACTTTCTTAGGTCTACTAAATTAGTAACACTGAGAGAACATTTAGAAATCCCGTCTCCTACCCATATAGATCTAGGTATAAATCATAGTTTGATAATTATGAAATACGATTTTTTGGTTTTTTTACAGAACATCTAGAGTAGCAATATTTAAGGACACAGTAACCAAACATCAGGCCTTAAACAAGTAATACTCTTTGGGCCAAAGGGTTGCAATACACTTTCCCCAGCGACTAGACGGGGGCAACACTTTGTATGTACTCCCATGAGGGCCCCACCCTAGTTTGTCTAGATATGAAATCATAGTTTCAGTAAGCTAGTGAACCATAGCGATGTTCTTCCTCCACCCAAAACCAACAAACAGGTTAAACCCAACAACCACTCCCACAGAAATAACGGATACCTCCCCCTGAATAACGGACAGAGGGGATCATTTTACCCTCAATTCTTTATTCATGTAGTATTTTGACATATACAGTACAGAACACAAGTTTGGACACAATGCAGAGTGAAAGCAAAAGGGCCGACAAGTGCTAAGAATCTCTGGGAACTCCTTCAAGACTGTTGGAAGACCATTCTAGGTGACTACCTCTTGAAGCTCACCAATAAAATGTTAAGAGTGTGCAAAGCAGTAATCAAAGCAAAAGGCGGCTACTTTAAAAAAACCTAATATATAAGATATATTTCCAGTTGTTTCACACTCTTCATTCATAGTTTTAATCCATATATATATAGCACCAGATGCTTGCTTTTTCTGTTTTATTTCAGGGCCATTCTTTTGAGGCTGCACATAAAGCCTTTGAGAACTCACCTGCAGTTTTGTTGGCCTCACAGCTGCTTCCGGCTGGGCAATTAACCCCAAGTTCAATACAAAGAACGGATCACAAAGGGAAGCAGAGCTGTGGAATTCCAGATCACAGTGCGGTGAGACACAGTGTTTGTCGGGTCAAATAAGGATAACAAACTTTCATCAAGTTCTGCAAAATAAATAATATCATGTTCAAAGAGTGAATTATTGATGTAACAAAGGCGAGCTTTTTATATTAAAAGACAAATGAATTGCCCCGGTCAGACAGCTTATGAAGTTTATTATGACTGTCTGCCTTGTATTCAGTGATTAAATACAACCAGCAGGGTACTCTGACCTCATTAAAGAGCAAATAAGTGAAGTCAGTTTCAATGAGGCTTTAAAGAAAGCTCCCACTACGCACGCATACCCATTGTCCTCCATATCAGAAGCATCAGGGGGGATTTGTAAGCCTTTCTGATAAGCATCCGTAGTCCCGCAGACCACTGCCAACCTCTGTTCTGCAGTCTTCATTCAAGTGGAGGCTGGAGTGGGAACAGCAGGGGTGTTCGTTTGTGTGAGAGGTTTGTGTGCAATGCTTCTGAGAAAGGACAGTACTGGCCATCAGGAACAAGTGACTCCAATGGTTCAGAAACTATTTGAATTGCAGCAAAGCCCTAGAAACAAACATGTTCCCTCTTCCAAACTCTGAAACATAGAAGTTATAAAATGAAACATTTGTTTTGTGAAACTTTGTTGTGGTTTAATAGTTGTTTCTATGGTGACGAAGATTCTCAGTCATCCAGGTCATAGTCATTCCATAAAAGTTCAAAAAAATATCCACTGGACTTGGTTTCCAAGATTTGAAGACGTTTCGCCACCTCTCCAGGAAGCTTTCTCAATTCAAAATTTTGAATTTTTTTGAACTTTTACGGAATAGTTTTTTCTATATGC